GTTATTAATATATCGAGGGATTTTAGTCCCATGGCTGCACAAACTGTATATGGTAGTATTGACTGGTTTCTTATACCGACTTTTGAGGGGCATTTTTTATAAATACGATAGTTTGTTGTCCTTTACTGCACATGAAAACTATTGTGTTTATGCAAAGTAACCTTCCAATAGACGACTCGCACTAACGGGTTACGTGACTCTACCTCCCTTAAAACGAGCAAATGGGTCAAAATTAACTCCAGAAAGAGAAATAGCACCTAAAATGTAGTAAGAGAGCGAAGTTTCAGCTCGAAATGTTGACTTTAGAGGAAATGTTATTCATAAAGAAATCAATATTTTATAAAGATTTGTATGGGAAAATATGCTGGGTTGCAAGAGGTTGCAAGCCAACACTTTTCCCCTACGAATCCTTATAAAATAGTCTATTTTATATTTAGTGCCATTTATCCTATGTTCAATATTATGAGCTAAATTTTCGCCCTTTTACTAAGGTTGAACTGCTCTATCCATTTCTAAAGTTCGTTTTGATACAAATAGGTCAAAACCAAATGCTTTATGGGTCGTAAGAAACCAGTGAATTACYTTAGAAATCAAAAAGAAAAAGTTCAAAACTTCATTCTTTTTTAGGGTTTCCAAGCTATACGATAGGCCATTTTCAAGATATAATCACATGACTATTACTGGATGGCAAAAAAATTAAACTTCCTTTATTCAAATAACTTTTGATGGATTACTAATGTCATTTTCAACACCATCTCAAAAATGCTTCAATTCCCCCTTTATAATATACTTTCGATTTCAAGATATCAAGCATTTCAAAGTTTGTGTGCCATCCAGCAAAGCCTTCCCTAAGGGACCTTTGGCTGAATTGATTCGTTATCAAACTGATATATCAGCACGTGACTGCTTGTTGCAAATGGCCTATTTGTCGACGTAACAGCGGCCATGTGGTTGTATAGTCTGAGTTTCTTGGTGTTTTGAAACCCCTGATGAAACGTTCTCGTTCGTTTGCGATCATAACCAGGGATACCACAAATATAGTACASAATTCCAACTAAGTGAAAAGCATAATAGTCGATAATAGACAGCACTTAAAGGCTCGGAAAAAAGACTCGATGATCATAGGTTTTGGTATTTGACTTGGAATTTTTCATGAGACTACGATTTCAAGATCTTAGGTGTCAATAAGTTTACAAAGATACTCAACATTTCTGTTCGTGTACAATGACCTTGAGTAAAAACAAAAATAGTATTTCTTTTTCAATGTGACAAATGCTGCTATGTTTATCCTCGGCTGAAAAGGGAAAAACATTGTCTGGATTTTTTTGATAACGTCAACTAGAGGTTTGATGAGAGCCATTTTCTGGGGAAGAAATAATATAGCCTATTTACACGACACATGAAAATTTCTTTTTTTCTTTGGTTCAGTCATGAACATTTCCATAATTACAACCAGCTTTGTCTTATCTATAGGTTTCATAGCAACCAAATACAGTCAATGTCATTAACGTTGTCCACCGAAAAAAGAATTTACACATTTACACATTTAGACTAAATTGAGCCAGAACTTTAAATGTAAAATTAAACTCGTGATTTGAAAATCCAGAATGCCTCGACCATTAACTGAGGATATGAGATGGAGAATTGTACTTCAGCGTTTGATGCCAGTACGTTCGAGGAAACACATGATATTTCTTTTAGTCTAAATGTCTAAATGTGTAAATATCTAAATCTCTTTTTTCGGTAGACAACGTCAATGACATTGACTGTATATCTATTTATTTAACTAAAAGGGGTAAATGATAATCAGAATATTTACTAAGGCTGCGTTTACAGGGTACCGGACGAATGTTTAACCGGCCATAAATTTGACCTTTACATACCCTTTATACAGAACAGTCTCTTTTGAATCGTAAAACAAATACGTTCTTTTTACACTTAACCGGACCCAAATTTGCATTGCTACGCGTACGAAGCTTTGTTTGGACAGCGCAGTCCTGTGTGAACRGAATACCTAAACGTACAACTTTGACTGATCAAAAACCGGTACCCTGTAAACGAAGCCTAAGTCTGTAATGGGAGTTATATTCTTTTCAACTCAAATACCTGCGTACTCTGAAAATTGGTTCAAGCCTTTTAACGTTAGTGTTTCTTCAACTACAGCTGGTCTTCCAGAGAGCTGAAGGTGTGCACTTCACCCCTCTCTCCATTTTTAAGACTATTCAAAATTCATCTACACGGATAAGAAACAGACGTGGAGATCCCGAGAATTTGAATTAGAAACTAAGTATAACGTTCCCAGCATACATAGCGTTCCTGGCCCGCATAGCGGCCCTTTGACATCCTCTCATAAGACTCGTCAGGGTTTCTCCCAATAAAAATTCGCCACATTCAAAAAAACTCTTTATTAACCAACCAATCACGGAATGACAAATAATGAAAATACTTATTTATTCTCTTGAAGTTTGGATTTTTATACTAGTCTTGTTAGGACACTCCAAGAGAAGGAACAAGTCAAGTAGAGACCGTGCTTCTTAAAGGTAAAATTAGCTTTTAGGATATTCTATTGAGGCCAATACTGCTGTAAAGATTTGCAATATCTAAGCTTATATGCATCAGAAATGAAGATAGAAAAGTAAAAATGGCCTTAATAGGATATATTTTCTCTATAGATTACTGGCACATGCTGCTGAAGAATAACTTTACTAGATTGGCTTTTTCTGATTTTGTACAATGAAGAAGTATTCCTTGCAAATGATCGAATGTACATGTGCATTGTCTCTGAGTGCGTTGACCGTATTCTGTCCCAATTTGTTTCATTTGGATTTGATGTTTGAAGAAAGGGGAGATTTCATTTAACATATATATGGCAACCACATCGAAAGGTTCCTGACTCATAACATCAGCTCTTGTTATGATTAAGCCTTAAATTTTCACTCAAATGCTTGTTGTTTGTTATCACTATTCACTACTACAATTACGTATTGCGTTGGCGCAGCTCAACGGGGTTAAAGTATCTATCAAGACTTACATGCTCTCTCGGGTTGATTTCAAAGCCCTTATACGTAAACACAGGATCCTCGTAAAGAGATAAATAACCACATAGAGAGTATCTATAGCTCAAAATGACTGAAACGTTTGGTGTTGTCATAGGGCATTATAACCAGCATAAGCATACTGGTCAGAGAGGTGACAATCCTCTCTCTATGGGTGATAATTCCCTAGGCCGCCGAGGGGTGATAGTCCCCTTCAAAGAGAATAGCTTGGTAAAGGGTGGTCGTAATTCTCTCTCTAGGGGTGATAATCCCCTAGGCCGCAGTGGTTTGGAAAGAGAGGTGAGAATTCTCTCTCTAGGGGTCATTTCCCCTTGTCCGTAGTGGCTTGGTAAAGAGGGGTCATAATTCTCTCTCCAGGGGTGATAAGCCGCAGTGGTTTGGCAAAGGGAGGTGAGAATCCTCTCTTAAAGGGGTGATAATCCTCTAGGCTACAGTGGTTTGGCAAAGACAGGTGATAATCCTCTCTTTAGGGGTCATAATCCCCTCTCTAGTGGTGATAATCCCCTAGGCCGGCGAGGAGTGCTAATTCCCCCTAAGGGTGTTGATCTCCTAAGTGAGCCTGATCGTTCCAATGGCCACCAAAAGTTTTTGGGACAAAGAGTGACGCTGTTTTAAAGCAGTGTTTCAATTAATTGCGTATTTTTGATTTACTAAATGCACAAGAAGAACTCATTACACAATATAGAAGAGGATACTCGTAACGGCAGTTGAAATACAGTAAAATGTTCACAAAACACAAAAAAAGTCTTGGCGTTAATCAAAACCAAAATATTGTGTCTGTCGTACCGGAAAGCAGTGATTAAGCTAATTTAGTGAAAATACGCAGGTGATTATAGAAAATCTCGCGCGCCGATTGGTCAAGAAACTCGCACTATCACACGATAATCACCTCGAGCGAAAATCCAAAATGGCGGCAAGCCGCTTTGTTGCTGTTACCGTTTTCTTTTTTTTTCTTTTCATAGAATCACCTGTGTATTTATACTAAAACAATTATTTGCCTCAGTCTCAGTTATTATTGGGGAATATTTACCTCGCCGCTCGAAGAGTCGCGTCTCGGTAAATATTCCCCGATAATCACTTCGCCTTCGGCGAATAATTGTTATATAGGCCCCTTGGAGGATATTCCCAATGAAGCCMAATTCAGAGAACAAAGCAATAGAATCTTACTCTCACGAGAACTGAAATTTATTGTTTTTTTCCCCTGAGTTGAACCGAACTATGGTAACGACTTGAATTGTTCCCTTTTTACTAAAAACCGCTTCATAGAATTTCTTTCAAACTTTCCCACTTTGTAGGCAAAAATTTGGTTTACAATGTCTAAGAAATCGTTATCAAAGTTTAGGTTTTGATTTCGTAGTAGCTGCTGTGATGTAAAGTGAAGGACATCACAATTCCGATGCTAGGAAGAAAACTCCGAATTCAACCAAATTAGCATCCGTGTAATGTACAATGTGATTAGTTTATGTGTAGTAAGTGTGCGAAAAATCATGTTTAATTTTTAGCCGTTTCAACTCAAGTACACGCGTACACGCACTTTAAAAGCTGGGTCGAGCCACCTTAAAACAGAGCATTGATAGAAAAAGGGGATAAAGCGCGCATGGTCAGTTCTCTGGAAAACCAGCTAGTAATGAACACTGACTTGCAATAAGTCAAAAATCATGTTTAATTTGTAGCCGTTTCAACTCAAGTACACGCGTACACGCACTTTAAAAACTGGGTCGAGTCACCTTAAAAAAGAGCACTGATAAAAAAAGGGGGTAAAGCGCGCATGGTCAGTTCTCTGGAAGACCAGCTTGTAATGAACACTGACTTGGAATAAGTTCTTTGAGTTTACGTTTGTATTTTTAATAAAAAGTCCTGGTGTTCTACCAATAGCTTTCCCGCTATAATATGAATGAATGAATTATGAGATGGTGAGATAAATACGACTAACATTTTCTTGTTCTCTTTAGGCTATTCACATACTTTATCTTTCCGTGGGGAAAAAATGATTTCGTTACAGTCTTGGGTCCTCATCTGCGTAGTCGGTATTGCAGTCATGGAAATCAAAGGTACCAAAAATTTTCCATTAATAGTGTTAACGCCACTTATTCATTGCTACACAACATTATTGACTATCCTGTATCGACGTAAAAGCATAATTTTCTAAAGGATGGTGCCTTCAATTGTTAGCGTGCATACATAAGTAAGTACTGCGCATCTACATTAAATTGTTCCCTCGAGATGTCAAAAGAAAAAATCGCAAATGAACAGGGACTACAATTCAGATGGAGATAGAAAGTGGAAAAAACAATACGATATATTGAAAAATTAATCATTATTATTTAATTCGAGGTGAAGATTTGCACGAAATTTTAAAATAGCGTGGGATGATGGGGATTCCATTTTTCTGCGTGCACATCCAAATTTAAGGAACTTGACGGGCCACTATACCAGAACACGAGTATTATCATGCATTGCTATGACATTTTTTTTTTCAATAAAAATTTATCAATTCGATTATTTTCCCCTTTAAATATAAAACTGTCTTCTCAATTTTACTGAATTTGCGTTTTCAGTTTTGTGGTCCATCATGGTCTATTAACATTGGTTTCCTATTAGTTTGCACCATCCTTAAGAAAGTAAAGCTCAAGTTTTGCTTAATGCCTAAATATATTTTTATACAATTTTGCTTAGTGTGCTACCAATGAAAAGTCGCACAAACGTCTAGCACAATTCCTAATTAGCTACGCCCACGGTCTAGATGTAAAGGTTAAAACGCTAGGGCGAGGCTTTCCATTGAAATTCACGACCGAGGGATAGGGTCTTTCGTTTTAACTGGTTTTAATAAATAAATAAATAAATAAATAAAAACACGCCCTATTTCTATTGTTTGATTTTTTCGATGGAAAACTTGTCCCAGGTTTTAAATTATTAATATCAATGCCGCCCCATCTTTAAATCTAGTTTAAATCTAGGTTTTCCATCGCAATAGTCCACTTCACAGTTCCCAGCGCCATCTTGAAAGGTTGCCGTGCCTTTGCATCGAAAAGAGACGAACGGTGAGCTTGCAATGATAGAGACCTTTTTTAACACCTTGGACAGTTATTCACATGACTCTAGCATTGTAAGCTCACCGTTCGTCTCGCTTCGATGCAAAGGCACGGCTACCTTTCAAGATTGCGCAGGGAACTGTGAAGGGGACTATTCAAACCAATAGAAATAGGGCGTGGTTGGTTTTTGAAGCTTCATTAAAAGCTCCTAAATTACACTCTCCTAAAGGATCGTACAATTACACAATCTTTCCAAACATCACTCGTACCTATCTCACCTATCATCAACAAAGCCCTTTCCCATAGAATACGTTCTTCAGTAGCAAATAATCGACAGATTTGACAGAAGAATCTGAATAGGCGTTATTTGCAATTTCACTGTCAGTTTCGTATGCATCTATGCCTTCAACCCTGCCGAACCAAACCGTCACTATTGGAAGTACAGTTGAATTCAAGGCTACGGATAACGACGGCGGAAGGCGTTTTATGTGCATATTTGGCATTTCGTATCCCGGTCGATTTCTTCCAAAGCCAAGGCTTTTAACGGTACAAAACCTTGGCGCTAAACCAGTTTTTCTGCCTGGCACCGAGAATGATAACAGGGTTTCGTTCATTGGAGATATGAATGTTGGCAAAGTTTGGTTCAGGATAACTGATGTTAAAGAAGAAGATAGTAACACATACAAATTACGCTGTTCAAACTCCGAGGGTAGGGATCATGTAACAATGGGACTGAAGGTCTTGTCTGGTAAGTAGCACTTTTGAGTAATATATGCAGTTATGAGTGGCTGTGTTGTATGCGATATATACAACTAATTGAAAAAACGTCGGTTTCAAAAAAAGGTTATATCATCAAAGCTAAGACCGAAGGGGAGCATGTGAAGACCAACTAATTTCATGCGTATTGCAATTTTCCCTTCCTGTGCACATTTCGTGCATCATGGCTTTGGCATGTTGTTTATGTTTGCTCTACTGTGCATTTTTACATGTCTATATGCAAATATAATACACATTTTGGAGTAAGCAAAATCCTTTTCGGTCTTAGCTTCGATGATATTCTCTCTCTCTCTCTCTCTCTCTCTCTCTCTCTCTCTCTAAAATTATATTATTTATGTTTTTCTATTAGTTGAGAAGAAGTGGGAATTGGTTGGCTGCTACGAGGATAACAATGATCGCGCCTTGGTCTATTTGTATATCATTTATTTTCTCGATTGAACCCCTATTAATAGAAACTTCAACAACTCAACATGAACCCTTCCACAGTACAATATGTCTTTTATATTTCTATAGATGAGAAGGAGTGGGAACCGCTGGGTTGCTACGAGGATAGCAGTGATCGCGCCTTGTCGGTTTATCACGGACAAATCAAATTCGATGATTCACCAGGAGGTTTCAAAAGAATGTTTGAAGAGTGCAAAAAAATAGCAGAGGAGAAAGGGTTTGAATACTTTGGAATACAGCACAAGACAGAATGCTGGGGGTCACCTAATGGACAAGAAATAACCTACAACCTTCACGGTTGTAAAAACAACTGCTTGCGTCACGATGATGGATTTGGAGTTGGATCTAATTGGTCTAATTTTGTCTATCGCCTGAAAAAAGGTAACTTTCAAATAGATGTCTTAAAATGTAGACTTTATTGCGAGGTTGTACTGGTATGGTACTCCATGTATGGAACAAACCGATGCATCACCAAATACATTTGTTGGTAGGGATCAAAATAATGCCTCTATACGACGTTCCTATCTTATAGCAATAATAAGATAATTTTGGTAGAAGTCTTAGTACGTTCACTACTGAACAACTTTATAATCGAACCTTCAACATCCTATCTAATCTTTTTGAGGTTTAATGCAATGGTGGAACATTTGACTAGCATTCCTTGCTAGAATTTTAATATCTCAAAAGTGGCCAGTTGTCACTCTTTACTTTCTGCTATCCAGTTATTTATCTTTCATTATAAAATGACTGTTATAAATCTCGCGTTCTGATTGGTTGGCCGCGCGTGATTTATGGGAGCACACAGCACGCGCGCGCTTTTTCAGCTGCGTCATTCCTATCTAAAATAACGGTTTTCGAAATTTGTATTTCATAAAAGAAATAAAAAAAACTTGCGCGTTTTCTATTTCTTTCTTAATACTTTTTTACTCTTTTATATAATTATTTTGATTTCGTTTCGATATGTTCCATTCACGTTCTTTCGAAAGCATGTATTTTAAATTTTGCAAAACTAATTTTTGTTTACTTAGATTGGAGCGATTGCAAAGATGGATTCCAATACAAACTCGTGTSCAAGCAAGATACATGCTACGAATGCCCTCCCTACAACGTTAAGATAGAAAAGTCTGAAACTAAAAGAGAATGCTAAATGTCCAGGTAGGTTTCATTCCTTAATGTAGAAAAGTATGAAGCTAAAAGAGAATGTTAAATGTCCAGGTAGGTTTCATTCCTTAATGTAGAAAAGTATGAAACTAAAAGAGAATGCTAAATGTCCAGGTAGGTGCTAGCAACATGCAACATTGCATGCCACAAATTTGAAATTGAATCGCGCTCTACTCTTGCAACTTTGCGCGCAACAGATTTCATCATTTGAACATGGATGCAACATTGCGTGCAACAGTTTGAAAATTCCAGCCAATAGACTTGCATCGCTGACCAAATTTCTTAGCATAGCAGACTAACACAAGCGATGTTGTTGATTTTGTGTATCACCCCGATTCAAATTTTATTTGCTGCGTGCAATGTTGCACCGTGTGTCCGCAGCTTAACTTTACAATAGCTTCAACTGGTTTATTTTTTTCTTTCAGGAAAAACGCTCCAGAGTTGCAGACAAAAAGGAATTCCTTAAAGAATTGGCTTTGAATACATAAAAAACAATAGCACAATTATTAACGCTAAGACTGTCATAAGGAACAATATTGGAAACTATTAAAACTGGTAGAATTGATTGTTACTTAAGATGAATAAATTGAATTAAAAGGTCCACGTATCATTGCTTAGTTTTTGATCTTTCTTCACCCGTTTTTCTTCTTCTAGATTGACTTAAGGTGGAACCAAACTAATTCAAAGCGAATTTGGGACAATTTTATTCTCACTCGCTTCGCTAAAACTAGTATGTCATTTTAACTGGATTTTTCATATAATGTGCTTGGATTATCCTAGATTCTAACAGTGTATTTTATTTTAAGATTTTTAAACGTGTTTAGCCTATTACGGCCGAAAATCAAGCAGTGCTATTTTTAGTTTTCGCTCTGAATTAGTTTGGTTCCAACTAAATTTGTCTCAATACCATGTTGAAATGTGGTATTAAGCGATAGGCGATGAGCAAACAAGATAGGTCATTCCAAGATCAAAGAATAAGCAGGAATGACTTATGTTTCTTTAGTTATTAGAGTTTTCCGATTTACCGGTACAAACGCGGTTTTGGCACTAATAGTACTAGACGATAATACCAACTTTAAATGTTTCAAATTATAGCACCTAAAATTATCTGTTTCTAGGTCGTTTTTAAGGTGGCTGGACCCCCTTACGCTTGACCGCTACCTTCCACGTTTGGAACGCTGGTGCATAAACGTCTTTTATCCGATTGCAAATCTTTTTTGCACATAAGTCACATAAAGATTGAATCAATGTTTGATGCAGTTTTTAATGAGATCGGACGTCATAACACGTGATTATGATGRAATATTTGTTTTCGTTTAGAGAACAATTTTAGCCTAGCAGAGCGTTCAACACTAAAATGCTTCTTACCACATAATTATATACTAGATGCCTCCATTTGTAGGGTTTTTTGAAAAAATCTATCTAGCTCATGCAATATATATTTATCTGCTACGCGGTCCACATATTCTCATCTTTGCATCATTATTACCGCGACCTAACATCTATTTCACCCCGTCCTGCTCTCAGTCTGACCTCTAGCTCAGCTGTTAGRGCATCATAGATTATAAATCAGTTGCTTTTAAGCTTTGAAAATGGTGATTTTGCATTATGCATCTCATTAGATATTTGTATAAATGTATACTACGTTTCTGCAATCGAGTGTATATACAGTCAATTCAAAAAATGTTGTCGTCGAGCAACTCAAGCTTACGCGACTGGACCGAAAGGAACTCTGGGTAGTAATCATTGAAGCCGAGTTGACTCCATAATTTTATCTGA